ATTTCAAAATTTCCACAAAAGAATGCACATAGAGTTTTCATTTTGATCCTATCTTTTGTTTCTTCAAATATACGGTTTTTAATAGAATAATACTGAATATAAATTTTCTTTATTTATTTTGAATATTAATAGTTTGGAACTCCAAAGAGAGATTTTTTTTTTCTCTTTATTTACTGTTTAATGTGATTGACAATAAAACAAAGCAAAAACAATATCTAACAAAGAGATTTTTGTTGGAAATTTCTCTGTGTTGAAATTTCTATGTATAGAAGAACTCGATGGATCATTTTTTTTGTTTTGTCTAGGTAGGGAACAAAAATTAGAAATATGTAAAACTTAACTGTTTTAAAGAAAAATGGTAATGTGTATCTTGCTAAATTTCCTACTTCCAATTAATATTTATTGAACAGGCCGATGATGATAAAGATGGTAAGCTATCACTTGAAGAGATGTTGAACCACGAAGATGTATTTTACAAGGCAGTTCATCACGAAGACTTGGACGACGAAGACTATTTTGATCATGATGAACTCTAAATTCTTCTCTCTCTTTTTTTATTTTTTTGTGTGTTTTCCTTTAAATTTCAATCACAATTTTTCCTTTAACTCACTTTCTTCGCCTCTTTTAGATTGCTTTTGATGATTAATTTTGTTGATAGTCATATAGTTATAACTAATGTATAGGTACATTCAACAACCATAATTATTCCATTAAAATTTCAAGGCAAATAGATATTGCTTTTTTGTTCTGGACTTTGGGTGGTTGATATGTAAAAAATTCATTGCAACTATATATCATAGATGACGTCATCACTATTGTCACAAAGCACTTACAAAAGGCACCTAACATGAAGAAATGTTTTGGCTCCGCGAAGGTGACAAGAATTCAATTTTTTTTTCGTCGTCTCCACAAAGCAACGGCGAACGCAAAATAGGATCACCAGGCTAAATGATGAAAAGGGATGCCTAGTTAGGACCAAGCTAATTCTAGAGTTTATTCAGTTCGACAGAATCTTTGGACATCGAACAAAACACTGAATTACAACAAGCCGTGTATAACACTAATCAAACATTGAGCTAACCAAAGCTGTTGCAGAATAACAAGTCAAAGAAACCCTTTTCGCGATAGATTCAGAAAATTTTATCGAATCCTTCCGAGATGGTTTCATTGGACAAGGTTTTAAGAAAATCACATAAGTTTTGAACAATAGCGTATTTTTAATCCAATACAGACTATATCACACTGTTTAAAACTCGCGAGAAAATAACATTTATTTATTTATGATTTTATTATCCCATTATTTTTGTGAAAAAGCTCTAAAGACGGGCTAACCTAATTAGCCTATAATTATAATTACCTAAAGAAAATGTCAAGAAAGTTTTGTGTGATATGATAAAATTATGTCAAAAGCATATTGCCTATGGACAAAAACTTTGGAACCACCAAGGCACCAACTGTGGCATGAGCCATGCCGTTCTACTCGATTACATTTAAGTAGATATATATGTATACTTAAATTTAAAAGTATTGAATCGACAATAACTAATAATTTTGTTGTCAACAACGACATTTACGTCTCACCATTCTACTTTAAAATTATGAGGTGGGTAAATTTAAACACAAAAAAACAAAAACTCACAACAATATTCAGACTGTAGAGTACGAATATATAATTCCGTATATGCTACTCCTTTTTTAGTATAAATATAGCTCAACCCCAGTTCTCATTCCTCACTCAACACCTCATCCTCAAACACAGAGACCAAAACCGTTTAAAAAGGCGGGAAAGAGACAAAACAGAGTACATTAACAAAACAGAGAGAAGTCATAATGGGATCTTTGGCTGAAACACAGATCACTCCGGCGAAAATCTCCGACGACGAAGCTAATCTCTTTGCTATGCAGCTCGCCGGTGCCACCGTGCTTCCGATGGTTCTGACATCAGCCTTAGAGCTTGACCTGCTCGAGATCATATCCAAGAATGCCGGTCTCGCTGGCGGTCAACTCTCACCGACCAAGATAGCTTCCCATCTTCCGACCAAGAACCCTGATGCTCCAGTCATGGTCGACCGGATCCTCAGGTTGCTTGCGTCTTACTCCATCTTGACCTGCTCTGTCCGTAAGCTTCCCGATGACAGCGCAGAGCGTCTGTACGGACTGGGACCGGTATGCAAGTACTTGACTAAGAACGAAGATGGAGTCTCACTCGCTGCACTCTGTCACTTGAACAGAGACAGGGTCTTCATGGAGAGTTGGTAATAAAAATGTTCAAAATTCTAACTTCATAGTATATTTTATAATAGCACACTAATTGAGAAACATGTTTATTAATGATATGAGTTCAGGTACCATTTGAAAGATGCAGTTCTTGAAGGTGGGATTCCATTCAACATGGCATTTGGTATGGACGCTTTCGAGTACCAGGGGGCCGATCCGAGATTCAACAAAGTGTTCAACAATGGAATGTCGAACCACACGACCATTGTCATGACAAAGATTCTAGAGACATACAAAGGCTTTGAGGGATTGTCTTCGTTGGTAGATGTTGGTGGTGGCATTGGAGTCACTCTCCGTATGATTGTCTCCAAGCACCCGCACATTAAAGGCATCCTTTATGATCTCTCTCATGTCATTCAGGAAGCTGTATCCTATCCCGGTACTTCTACGCATTGAATCCCGGACTGTAATTTTCCATGGATGTTTCAATGTCTTAGTTTGCGTTTTGTTGAGTGATTCAGGTATTGAACATATTGGGGGAGATATGTTTGTGAACGTCCCTAAAGCAGATGCCATCTTCATGAAGGTTAGTAAACTAGTCCTCTTGGCAACAAATTTATAACATTTGATTTGTAACATTTCTAAACATGTGACAGTGGATATGTCATGATTGGAGCGACCAGCACTGTTTGAAATTTCTAAAGAATTGCTATGAAGCGCTTCCAGACAACGGAAAAGTGATAGTGGCAGAATCTATACTTCCGGAAGTGCCAGACTCAAGCCTACTGACAAAAGAAGTTGTCCACATGGACTGTCTCATGTTGGCTCACAACCCTGGAGGCAAAGAGCGGACAGAGAAGGAGTTTGAGGCCCTGGCTAAAGGTTCTGGCTTCCAGGGATTCCAAATTGTCTGCAAAGCCTATGGTACTCACATCATGGAATTCCTCAAGAAGAATTGAATGTGTGAAAGATACAACACGACTGTATCCTTGGGCTCCTTTTCGCTTCTAAGTTTTGGTTACATCTCCATTGTTGATTATCCTCTCTCTTTGGTTTTCATATCACAATGGTTGTGGTAGTTGTTGGAAGATGCATTTCTTTGTAAATGTTCCTTCATCTCTTGTAAAATTGGAAATAAAATATAAAGTTGGTTTTGTTTGTGCCTTGATTTACCTTTTCTTGACGGAATTTGATAGTCCAAATGGCATTTCCTCCATATCATCAAGCCCCACCATGTGAAATCAAATTTCCATGTACAGGAAGATTTAAACCTGTGTATTTACTTTTTATGTTTGTAGTGAATTTGTTATCTACACACTAAGCATAGGTAGTTTCTAAATGTAATCACCTCCAAAGATTTTACATGTACTTTGATGAGTTCCCAACTGTGAGGTATCATCATATCTATGGGAAGACTAGAGAGTTAGACATATAGTTACATATTTTATATACACTAATGGAAGGAGATTGGATGTTCATTTTTACTCAAGAGAGAAACGAAGTCATCCATATGCCAACACTAACTATACCGACAGTTGCTGCTGCCTGAACCAGTTCAACCACCGTGTTTTGTCGCTGCACAGGGAGATTCTTCCACTCTGTTCTTCTGTAATTATCGAAACCAAAACGTCAAGAGTCTATGAATTGGATACTTAATAAGTTACGTATTGGGATAGCTTTTAGATGAATATGAATACTAAAATATCTAAGACATACCCTAGATCAGCAATGATGATGCTGATGTTGTCCTCTGATCCCCGGTCCTGAAATATAAAAGGGATGTCAGTTTCGAGTTTAAAGAAGGCTTGAGAGGACGGTTTTTTGTTATTTTACCAAAGCTACTTGCGCAAGAGCTTCACAAGCAAGCTGTTACAGAGGAACATTTCGAAAACGAGTTAGGCTAGAAGCCATATATGCGTTGTAGAAACTAATGGGAAAAGGCATGAAAGAAAAGCTTGCCTGGACATTTCCATGTTTCCGGAGCTGTTCCCTTACGAAACTAACCACGTCTGAGCTGCATCAGCAAAACATTGATCACTGTGTAAGTTCTGTACTTATCACTGATAAAAGCATATGACTGAATGGGGAAAGAGGGGAGAAAAAAAGGAAACCTCTTCATGTAGTCCCATAATCCATCAGAAGCTAAAATAATGAATTCCACATCAGATGTAAGAGGTACTTGGTAGATATCTGGAGTTGCGACAACCATGTCCCCTTTAAACTCGATTCTGCATCATCAGACATAAATCCTTGAAAAATGCAACAGAAGAGAGAGAGAATGACAAGTAGAACAGAGCTTTCGAATAGTTGAGTACCTCGAAACAAACTTCTCGGACCATCTACCTTCATTGACACCCTTCTTTAACATCCTGTGTGTATTGAACATTTATGAGCAACGAGGTACCATCCAAAAGAAAGAAGAGCAATTGTAAGAAGAGAGAAAGAACCCAACTGAGTCTTCTTTGTCTTGAACCGGATATCACCAAAAGCACGAGAAACAGCTATGTCTCCGCAAATCCTTCCATTAACAATCTGATTGAAGGAAGAGCAAGAAATCGGTTTTTAGCTATATCCAGAGTGAAACACAAGCCAATTTCAGAGATGGTTGAGAAGTTTTAAACACGAAAGAATTAGGAAGACACACCCATCCACCTGCTTCTTTGATTCTCTTCATTTCTTGAACGGCTGCCTTAGTGCTTCCATATGGACGATGAGAATCAGTCAATTCCTCGATTTTCCCAGATCGAGATAGGACCTGTTTTAATGCATTCACAGACGTCACACATGACCAAGTACAACGATCCACCACGTATTAAAACTCTTAAATAACAAGGCTTACTGCGCACGAATCACCGATATGTGCAAAGTAGGAAACGTCATTTCTGATTAACATTACAGTAGCTGTTGAGCCCGATTCGTCTTCTTCATCGTTTGTCTCTAGCCTGCAATGAATCCAAATCATGTAGAGAACAAACTTCACCCAAATCAAAACTCCCTTCAAAGAAATTATAAGCTAACTTCACCATTTGAGCAAACTCTGATCCACGCTTTCAAAGGCCTTAATCAAAGCTTCCTTGATCGCAGAGAAATCACCACCACTCAACAACGATCCAACTTGCAATGCCCCAACACATTCCTTGTACAGCTCTTCCCTATTACAATCATCATCATCAATTCATAAAAACCCTAGAAATCTGGGCTTGCATGAGAACAAACACACAAAGTACCTGAGGAATTTGACAGAGGACGATCCAGCGTGGCCGTCGAGAACCGCGGCGAAGGAGAAGCTATCAAGAGCATCCGTACGGATGACGATGTCGTCCTCCATCTCGTCACGGAATCCTTGGACGCTCGTGTATCCCCATCGAATCGGCGTCACGCTAGTCAGAGACGACGGCGCGTCGATCGCAATCGCGCAGCAACGGTGACGACGGCCGTACGTGGGATAGACAACAAGGCCACCGCTAGAGTCGGCGGTTGTTTTGGATTGGCGGCGACTGTTCGAGGAGTAAAAGCGATGAAGGTGCGGACTCAGAAGCGCCATGACTCAGTGAGTCAGGCAAACGAGTTAACTAGAAGAAGAGAAGAAGCAAAGAGACTTATGATTTTAGTGGTGGTGGTGAAACATGGTTGATACTACCGAAGAAGAAGATAAGAGAATCAACGAGGGCCTCTTAACCGATATAACGGTCCATTTTTTATTATATATGGGTTCGGGCCCGAACCGGAATCAATGATTTTTGCGAGATACATAAAATTGTTCTAAAAGCTAACATCTGCACTAAAAAGGCGTTGATCCCCAAAACATTTAAACCTGATTCGTAAATAAAGCATTAAGCTGAGCATTTAGTAACAGCTAATGGTATTCAAATACTCTTACCTTCAATGCTCATAAATAGAGCTTATCCTGAGATTTGACCAATGATATTATTAATTTTTTTATTAAATATCTAATCTTTTTTATATAAGATCAAAAATAAATTATATTAACTTTTTTTTATTTTAGTTAATATTTATCATTATTAAAACTAAAACCTAATATTTAACATTAGTTTATTTTCTAATAATATTAGCTTATTTATTTTCTAACAACTAATAATATTAGCTAATTTATTTTGATAGTTCTAGCTAATTCGTCTCATGATTGGATATGTACATTTTTTTTATTATTTTTCTTCGTCTCAATTTTATATTTTAAGCTTAGGTTATATTTGTAGACTACAGCTAAATTAACTAGTCCCATTATTTGAGCTAACGGAGAAAATATACAACAAATATTATACTTTTAGATTTATTTTGGAGTTGTTATGATGTCAATGTTTTGACAACAATCTTTTAAAAACTTAATCGGATTTAGTCATAATGTCACTAGTTCTCCCGATGTGTGTATCTTGTCCAGATGTATGTTCTTGAATACAATCTACTTTGAACGCAAATAGAAAATTCAGTTATTCGCTAATTGAATAACGTTCTAGTTATCACATAGCAATATATAGTTATATAACTCCATATTCAATTCACACAATTTTTTTTTTTTTGTTTGGGCATGAGTTTTGGTGACTGCAATGTACTTTTCTGCGATGGAGGACAAAGCACCGCGGTTCTAGTTTTGACTACTAGGAATCAACCTCCTGGAAAGGTAGT